GTTCCTCTGGTTTTCTTTGAAACCTTTCAATGGTAAGGTCTTCCAGAAAAGCGAGGCTGGATTTGAACCTGTGCCTGAAGCGATGCTGTGTAAGGACCCAGGGACAGGCACATCTTTCCAGCCTTCAGCAGAATGATGCTCAGAAGCTTTTGTTTTGAGAAACTAAAGGGAGATTCTTCACCACCTCCTTATTAAGCTACAATATCTCTCCAGATGAACATTCTCTTAATCTCATTAGCTGCAAACAGGCTTGGGACAGGGGCAAAGGGGGGGGGCGGTCCACACTGAGGGACTGGCAGGGCAGGAAAGAAGGGGCTGCAGGTGCTCCTGGCCTGTTTACTCCCTGCAATGAGAGGGCACTGGATCGAGGCCTAGGCACTATGTCATTTGCCTAGCCGATGCTCCACTTTCCTACTTGTATTCCAGTCTCAGAATCAGCATCTGTTTCTTGCAATGATTAATCTCTGCTTATTTCTGCATCTTTTTTCCCCCTCCTATTAGGGATACAGTCAGTTCTCTGTGAAATCTAACCACTGTGTACCCAGTTCCCCAGAGGAGGCAACACCCTCTGCGCCAGTGCTTTGGTTTATCTTTTATTTTAGATGTTGGCTTTGGGGATGATTAGAATCTGGTCTAAAAGGATTCCACCTATGCAATTTTCCAGACATCTGGCATCTCATCCTTTGAGATGATGTCACTAAAGGACTCGAATAGTAAGAAGAGGGGAGCCCAGAGCTATGAGTGTGACAAGGGAATGGACTAGGGATCCTACGATGCTCCTTCCCTAATTCCATGTTTCTCTCATAGAGATCTTTGTTTTCCTTCTTCTTCTTTGTGCGGTCCTAGGGCTTGATCTCAGGGCCTGGGTGCTGTCTCTAGCCGTTCTGCTCAAGGTTGGCACTCTATCACTTGAGCCACTGCTCCACTTATGGCCTTTGGGTGGTTAATTGAAGATTACAGTCTCACAGACTTACTTACCTAGTCTGGTTTTGAACTGAGATCTTTAGATCTCAGCCTTCTGTGTAGTTAAGATTCCAGATGTGAGCCCAGATGTCTGGCTGGCTTTTCATGCCTTTGAGAATTGGAGTTGTAGTGTCCTATTTCTTGAACATCTGAAGTCTCAAGAGAAAGCAGCAGCTCCTCAGCCATGGGCCCAGCCCCAGTATAGTGAGATTGGTCAGAGAGGAGGATGGTTGCTGTTATTTAAATCTGAAATGTCCTCCATAGGCCCATGTGTTAAAGCCTTGTCCCCCAGCTTGGTGCTAGTAGGTGTGGTGCTATTGGCCTAACATGTGCAGGCAACTGTTCTACTACTGAACTATATGTGCAGCCATAGCCGGGGGAGGAGTGTTAATCTGGACATGGTTTAAGAACCTTACAAAACCAAAGGCTTAAGACAGCAGACACAATGACAGTAAAATTGTACCACTGTCTTGCTCTCCATTGCATTGTTACTATACTGGTAAGACTTATGAGTGCTGACCATTTTTTAATGTCTAATTTGGGTGCTTTATCAATCCATTCTCATGGTTATCTCTGCAGATCGTTTACTGCCAAAAATGTGGGACAGGGGACTGGCTCAAGCTCATACCAACACATGCTAAGCTGCATTCTGTCATGTTGGGTTAATTGGTGCACAGAACAAGGGTTCCACATTCTAGATTCTTCTCAAGACTCAAAAAGCTTCCCCATGAGCTCCTGCATGTGGAGAGGGTGGGGAAGGGCAGTTCTCACCAGAGGCCCTGAGGTGGTGAAGAGAGACACCCCTTTCTTCAGCCCAGGTTCAGGAAGAGGGAAGACAAACACAGGACATCAGTCAGGCTCAGTGAGAGCTGCGTCATTCTAGGATCTGGTTTGAATCCAACACGTGGATGCAGGATATGCTCACGTTGCTAGCTCATGGAAGCATAAGTCCTTGCCAAAAGTCCTGGGTAACTGGTTTATCCAAGGTGACAGCGACAGACAGTGATTTTGTCTGACATCTTTTCTTTTTTTTCTCGATTTCCTTATCAGTCCAAAGGACCCATTCTGCTTGTCTGTTGCCTCTTTATGCTCAACACTTATGTAGCCTTTTTCCTGAGTTCTGGAATTTTCCCAGTGGGTCTTGGATTACTCACAGGCGCAATCTTCGGCAATTATGTTGCAAATCTGAATTGGACATTTTATAAACTATCACTCTTTCCTTCAGAAAGATTTATGCAGAAGAGCACTTTTCTGGTGGGCACGTGAGCATTGTCATGTATTTGAATTGTTTCCTCACTTGCTCATTCTTTTGGAGAGATGACTATGTTTCCCCATGTGCATTCTTTCAGAGAGGGCTCAGTTTCCCCCGTGTGGAGAAGGTATATGGGAGAATGTTCAAATTCATGTTCAATTTCTTTAATTTGTGACAGAGAAGTCAAGGAACATTTTATTTCTGTGTGGGGTGGGGAGGAACAGGAAACATGAGCACCATCTTACATCCAAGAACTTAGCACATCCCAGTGCCCAGATTTGCAGACCCTTGAGGGTCAACTGGCAGCTGTGAGCAGGAGAAGCCAGCTCTGGGCAGGGGAGGTACCTGGCTGGGTTTTGGACCTATGGAGCACTGGCAGGAAGATCCCAGCAGGCCTGAGGCCTGAGTGTCTCAGGGTGAGAATCCCAGAGCCTGCAAAGCCCAGAGTCCCCCTCCCCCTAAAGGAAGTGCTCAGCCTGGTAGCTCTGTGCCTCAGGGAATCCTCTGTTCCTCCTTCAGTCTTCCTGAGTCCCTTTGATCTTTCCCTCTCATTGGCAGCTGAAAGCCACCCAGAGATGAACTATGATCAAGAATTGTGGGATTCCAGCAACTCCACATAAGGGTCCAATGTCCCTAGTGTTGTCCACACAACTGGCATTGTGTAACATAAGGATGAAAAAATAGCCATGTTGATAATGCATCATTGCTGAGAGTGATATTAAATATCAAATAAAAATTCCATCTTGACAAGGTGAGAGGAGACCACTGAAGAAAAAGATCTATTTCTATCTATATCAGCTATAGCTAACCATCTGTCCATCCCAGCATCCATCCATCCATGTGTCTCTATTGTGTTTGTTTTTGAGACAAGATCTCACTATGCAGCCCAAAGCTTGTTATGTATTCCAGCTTTAGTCTGTGGAGTGCTGGGATTACAGGCATACACTCCCATGCCTAGCTTCATCTCCTCAACTCTCATACCCAACTTCTTCTCCTCAGTTAATTTTTGCCACCTTGGGGCTTGAACTTTGGACCTGGGCTCTGTCCCTGAGCTTCTTTTGCTCAAGGCTAGCACTCTACCACTTGAGCCACAGTGCCAGTTCTAGCCTTTTCTGTGTATGTGGTATCGAGGAATCAAACCCAGGGCTTCATGTGTGCAAGGCAAGCACTCTACCACTAAGACACATTCCCAGCCCTTCTCCTCAGTTTTGAACAGGATACCTACCTCTGTGCCATCACTTTGCACTAGCTGCAACCAAATGTATACATGGTTCTGGCACAGACTTTGGCACCTTCTTTGTGATAACTTGTGACTTAAGGATATTGCAGAAGATCTGGCACCTTCTGTTCTGTTTGTGTAGCATTCAGACTACCCATCCTTGACCCTCTGGCTACCATCCTTTGTCACATCATTTCCCCAGATGTTTGTACACTGCAAAGGGAAGACAATGGCTCTCCTGAGGATGGGGCAGCTGTGTGCCTGGATGATGGGGAGAGAATAAACATCACTTCCATCTATTTCCAATCCAGATGGAGATCCCTGGGCATTCCTGAGGGAATGGTTGTAGACTTCCCTTGAATATAGCAAAACGCATGGATGCTCAAGTCGCTTAAATATGAGAAGGCAGCATTTGCATAGAACCTACCCTCAGCCTGCTGTAGGCCTTAAACCATCTCTAGATGACTTACAAGGCTGAATACCAATAAGTGCTTTGTAAATAGTTATTATACTGTATTGCTCAGGGAATAATGACAGGAAAAAACTGGGCACATTACAATGCAATGCTCATTACAATGCAATCATTGTAGGCCTACCTGCATTTTCTGTCTGCACTTGCTTGACTGGTTGTAGGACCTGCGGATATGAGGGGCTGATGGTATTCATAAGATTATCATCTGAGCAACACATCAACATCCATCTTATGGCACCTGTCAATAAATGTTGAACTTCCTTTACCTTTCTTTGCCTTCTAGAACTCTCTCATTATTTACAGTCTTGATTCTGCTATTTATGTATGTATGTGTGTATGTATGTATGTATGTATTTCATGCATACGCAGATACTGGGGCTTGTACTCAGTGTCTTGCACTCTTACTTTGTGTTTTTACTCAAGGCTGATGTTCCATTATTTGAGCCACACCTCCACTTCCAGCTTTGTGCTGGTTAATTGGAAGTAAGAATCTCAGACTTGTCTGCCAGGAGCTGGCTTCAAACCATGAGTCTCAGATCTCAGCCTCTTGAGTAGCTAGAATTATAGGCATGAGCCACCGGTGCCTGACTGCATTTTCCTTAAGAGGCATACCAAGATAGCCATGCTGCTCTTCAGGAAGAGATGAAAAGCTTGTCTGTCCCCTGCTGTCGTTCTGCTGAACACAGTGGTGGCCATCAAGAGCCCAGCAGTGTGCTCTGTCCAGTCCTTCTTGCTTAGTCAGGTAGAAAGCAAATAGGCCCCAATCATCCTCTTCTGACCCCCACAGAAAGCTGGAATACATCCATCTTTCCCCCTACACCTCATGTAGCCACTTTTTTTTTTTGCCTCCCATCTGCCATCCCCAGGACTCCTAGCAGCAATTGGGCCGAACCTGGAGAGTAAGTAGGTGAAACCCTGGTCTTCCCTTTGCTTGGAGCTCACACAGTGGTAATTGTACCCTGCCAGGCAGATTTTGCTGAGGAAGGATGTTTGCACCTGTTTGGTGTTGGCATTGCATTCAGAAAGAGTAGCAGGTGGGGGACACAGAAACAAAGACTGGTGCATCCCAAATGATGATTGGCAAAAACACTTACCCAAGACATCTGTGAAGCTGTGATCCATTCAGGAGCAATGTGAAAATGAGCCCCAGCAGAGTCTCCCAGCAAAATGATCCCCCGGGGCTGTGAACCTAGGCGGCACAAGGTACCTGCATTATTTATGTGCTGAAGCAATGGAGAGGTGCAGACTGGGAGCAGAAGGCCTATGCGTAGGCCAGGCCCAGCATATCCTAACTGAGATGTTGGAGACACTGAGAGACAATAGCATTTAGGAGCAGAATGAAATTTCTAGGCCACTGGCATTGCCAGCTAAGCTGTAGAAATGCAGGCATGCTTCCCAGATCAGTCTAAAACCAACTGTTGTACAACATCCTGGGTGAATGAATGATGGAGATCTACATGAAAATCAACTTGATCTGAGATCAGAAAAAAAAATATTCCAGTTGTTTTGATCTGGGAAATGTTTTTCTTGGAGCACACATTGGCCCCATTTCTGTTATAATTAACTAGAAGAGATAATGACCTCTCAGAACAATTCTGATTTTTTTTTCTTAAAAGGATATTATAGTCAGCTGGGTGCCTGTAATCCTAGCTACTCAGGAGGCTGAGAGCTGAGGATCATGGGTCAAAGCCAGCCAGGGCAGGAAAGTCTATGAGACTCTTATTTTCAATTAACCACTGGCAAACCAGAAGAAGTGCTGTGGCTCAAGTGGTAGAGTGCTCGCCTTGAGCTGAAGAGCTCAGGGACAGCGTCCAGGCCCAGAGTTCAAGCCCCATGACTGACAAAACAAACAAACAACAACAAAAAAAGATAGTCTTTGAAATCCCTTAATCCACATACACAAAAACACTGGGCAATTCTGACTGATTAAGAAGCGATAGAAAGGTTTCTGTGAAGCCTGGATGTCTACAGGTAAGACTCACCTAATCTAATCCTGAGACCCATTCACACACACCATTCATGTGTGGATATACTTCTCCACATTCTTCAGCAGCCTGGTAAAACAAACCAATGCCTCTCACAGACGAAAAGACAAGTCTCCATTCCCCAACCACTCAGAGGAGGCCAGAGTATGGCCCACCTTCCTGTGATGCTCCTTAGCCACAGCTTCCATAGAAGCTGCCACTGGCCCAGTGAAATGGGAAGGAAGAAACTCCAAAGCATGTAGGAGGGCACAGGTGGGTAGAGCATGAGTGTCTCATCAGGAACCCACAGGGCAAAGTGGTTCATTTTCAACTACACTTATTATTAATTGTTTATGTTTCCTTTTTTTTCAGGGCATATTAGACAAGCTTTCTACCATGGAGCCACATTCCAACTCCAGATTCATTCATAAGTTTATTTATTCACTTATTTGTGGAAAGAAACGTTTCTATACTTCCCACATATGTAATGCACCCTTACATTTTCCATCCTCCTCCTCACCCCTCTGAGAACATAGAGACAATTACACTGTAAGTTGATTGAAGGCAAGGACTGCATGAGAGTTGGAGGTTTTTGTTTGATTTGTTTTGTTTTGTGCCCTGAGCCCAATTTAGCCCTGGGTGACCTTTAGAATGGTTTCCCTGGAAGTGCTGCTGAATGAAGGAAGGGAATTCCCCAGTTGCCTCTGAAGAAGGAGGAAATACAGTGGATCAGAAAACTGTGATGACATCTGAAGGTCTTCTTTAAGACCCTTCCTAGCCCTTTGCAGTACTGGTGGCCCAGATGTCTGTGGGATTAGGGCATTTTTGCTCAGTTACTTTGAGGCAGTATCTGCAGGCATTCTCCCCCGAGGTGTTCAGGTATACATCATTAGATCCAGGGACAGAAGCCTTCCAGTTGTACAAGCCCAAGTATCTGACTTTGTAGTGCATCAAGAAGGATGTGCAGATGAGCGAGGATTTCACTTATCCTCTCTCCTCCTGTTTCCCCCTCCCCTGCTTTTTATTTTTTTGGCTCCTTGCTTATCTATCCTGCTGCCTCTTCTAATGTTACTGTGAAAGTCCCTAACGCCTTAAGTAAAAAAAGCCAATTAAGCAAATTAAGTTTTGCATCTTCTAGATTCTCTTTCCCTCTCCTATATCTTTCCCCTGTCTTTTTCTGATTTGTCATAAAAACAAATGGAAATGAGCCACCATAAAGTAAACTCACCCCAGCACTTCCTGGGCAGTGACTGGGCGTGTCTGTTCCTCTATTTGACAGAATAGAAGTTGCAATAAGCACACTGACTTTTAGCTCCTACCTTCACAGAATTTCTTCTCATATGGAATTCCATCTTTGGGATCGACACCCTTTAAAAGAGAAATGCAGAGATTAGCAGTGTGTTTTTAAATTCATGAGAAGCCTTCGGGAAATTCTTCCCAACTGCCTTTAAAGTGCAAAGGCAAATTAATAGATCTAACCCTTTCTTGTCTCCTGAGCCACTAATGCAACATAGCAACACTCCTGGTGACTGGGCTGGGCTTAAGAGGAATTGGAAATAGGATAAAGAAGCAGTCTAGTGGCAGGGTCTCTTCTATCAGGGCACATGGTGAGCAGAGGAAAGGAGCTGGGTCACAGTCTCCCTCCTCAGAGTGAAATAACCATCAAGTGACTGGAACACAGATCAGGGGGAAGTTCCACACTTTTTAGCTGGAGATTTAAGTGTCCTGATGTCCAGTACCTAAAGATTGATGCTTCTACTGCAGCAATTCTCAAACAGCCCCCAATTTTCCTCTTTACCTCCCAACCCACACTCAACCCAGGGGACACTAGTAATGTCTGAAGACATTTCTAATTGTTACCAGAGTGGTGGGGAGAAGACCTTTGGATGTCTCATGGATTGGGGGTCAGTGAGGTGGTTGAAATATCCTTTAGTGAGGAAGACCACATCAATGATAAAGAATCACCCAACCCAAACATCAATAGTGCCAAGTTTAGGAACCCCAGAAGGGTTGGGCCTGGGAGTAGGCCATGTAACACTTGAGGCTGGAGCTGCCTGTTCATGCAGCAGCAGTTCATGTTCCTTGGAATAGAGATAACTGGTATTCTAAGGCAAAAGTATTGACTGGCCAAAGACATGATGGGGACAGTGCATTCACTCTCCTGGTCTTAGGGGATCCCCTATGAGATCTTCCAAGACTTAAGCAATGTGAGGATTTCTTTTGTGGTTCTAAATAATTAGCTACTTTCAAACTTGAGTTTTCTTCATAAGGACTCCCTCCAGTTAGGTCAATCTACTACTGTGACATGGAGTGTGCATTGCTATTGCTTCTGCAGACAAGCACTTACATAGTTTTCTTCTTCCCTTCCCCATTCTCTCCTTTGAAGCCAGAAATCCATTACTCATAGAGAACTTGGACCCCAGCCTTAGAGGTGTCTGGGATGGGACACACACAGGGCAATTTCCCCTCAGCTGGGTGAGGATTATGAAATAGAAAAAAAAAAGTGGCTGCAACAAAAAAAATGACAGCGGGTGATTTTCTCCAAGAGTTGTGTGGGCTGCTCCCCACTCCACCGTCCTTCAGAAAGAAGGCATTTGTTGTGGGTGGCCATAAGCCAGGGTAAGAGGCTGTGATGGGGAACCTCAGCTCCCCCAGCATCAGGGATGCTCTCACAGCCCTCTAATCAGCTAGAGTTTCCACAGGCTGGTCTTCTTCCTTAGGCATGATTAAGCAAGCAGGCCTGGGCTCTTGGGGAGAAAGCAAAAGAGGAGTTAAGTTGGAATCCAGTTGCTTACCCAGATGCCGTTACAGTTTGAGTCATACTGTGCATCCCAGTTGGCTGGCCTGAGAAGAAAACACATGTAAGTGCTGGTGTTTAGGATGCATCTTGAACTCTCTAGGGGAATGTTAGTTTCATAAATAATCAATGAGTGCCCCCACAAGTATCAGGGGAAAAATCAGTGTTCGTCAAAAAAGAGGGTCCGAAGCAGATATGTTGGGACATACAGAGGCCTCCTCTTGACCCGTATGTATGCATCTTGACCTGGAATATTTGCAGGGAGCCCTGGAACTAAGCCAGTCCTTTTCATGGTTGCCTATATTCCTGGATTGTGTCAGGGATGAAGGTACGAATGGGTAGAATGGGCAAGTGCATTTATTGAGATGTTACAATTGTCCCACTGAAATACCTAAGCATCTAGTTAATGTAATGTAAGCATTCTGATCACAGAGTAAATGAAGGATGACATACCCATTTTCCTCCCTTATAAAATTAGCATGCTAGGTCCAGGAAGGTGGCTCAGTGGTAAGGTTCTTGCCTTGCATGCATGAGGCCTTGGGAAGGTGGCTCAGTGGTAGAGTGCTTGCCTAGCATGCATGAGGCCCTGGGTTCTATTCCTCAGCACCATATAAGCAGAAAAAAGCCAGAAGTGGTGCTATGGCTCAAGTGGTAGAGTGCTAGCCTTGAGTTGAAGAGCTGAGGGACAGTGCCCAGGCCCAGAGTTCAGGCCCCATGATGGACAAATTGAAATAAAATAAAATAAATCAGCATACTAATTGCATGAAGGAATTTCACTGTGTGATTTCCATACATTCAGATCCTATATTGGGGTTACATCCACCCCCTCTGCTACTCTTTTGGGAAACCAAAGCTCTGCTGGGGTGAATATCAGGCCAGGACTGGCATTTAATGGGTCTTCTCTTCTTTGGAGTTCTCTTTTTGCTCCCTTGGAAAGAGGCCACTAATCCTGCCCCCTCCTGCCTTGCATGTGGATCTCACGTGGGAGGTGTGTAAATGTCCACAGCCATGATCACATGCTTATCTCTCCCACTAGATTCTTAGCACCAGGAGAAGGGACATATTTCTATTTCATCTTCAACTAACAGGATGCAGAGTGCTTTGCAAATCTTAGACAGTCCCTAAGCATTATCTTGCACAAATGAACAAAAGAGTAGTGGTGAGTGGATGAACAGAGCTCTCTTCTCTGGGCCAGGGGGATTCCTCAGGCTGCAGGGGAAGAAATTATGCCCACTGATTCATTTTGAGAAGGCAGTTTTCAAAGATCAGTGACCAGCAAGAGTTACCTTCTGCCTGGGTGCGCCATCTTGTCACTGTCGTTACAGTCTCTCCCTCTCCAGTGATAGCCCCGCAGTGTCTGGAATTAAAGAGCATACCCAGGAGGGACTCATTCTGGCTTTGATGTTACCCATTGCGAAGGCTAATCAGAGCTGTTGGAATGGCATGGACACTGCAGTTTCTAATTCAGACACAGTTGAGGAACAGTAGATCACAAAGGAAACAGATTCATACAAGACTCACTATGCTGTATACACATATGGAGAGTATGTGTGTGTGTTAGGTATGTGAGTGTGTTGTAGATGCTTGTGTGCATGAGACATACATATGCACATCTGGCTCTTTGTGTGTGTGTTTCTGGGTACCCCCAGAAACAGCAGGGCCTTTTGGCTTTCTAAACTTCCTCTGGAATCCATCAGTCTTCACAGTCAGTAAAATCATTTATTTGACCAAATGATTGGCCATTTTATTGGGCAATTTTGAAATAATCAAGCTAACTGTTAATCTCACAGGGTGCCTGTGTGTCTGACTTGAAAGAATTAAATCACAGTAGTGTTTTTTTCTTGTCCTTCACATAAAACACCAGACGTTCCCCCACATTTTGGGGCGTGTGTAACCTGTCACTTGCTTATGTGATTCCTCAGAAAACACCAATCATTCTAACAGATTTGCATCAAATGTGCATGCATGAGCATGTGCACACACGCACGCGCGTGCGCGCGCTCACACACACACACACACACTTTTTAAAAGGAAAGTGAACACAGGCTTATAAATTTCAAGAATAATTCAGATTTCCCTTTAAGATAACTGTAGTTATCTTGGAAATTCCAGTTGGGATAGAAACAAGGATAGGTTGGAAGCAGAAAGTCTGGGTCTCAGCTTCACTTTGGTGGCCTAGGTATTGTTATAAAATAGCCTAGGATCCTTAGAATTGAGAAATGATATATTGCTCATTAGAATAATAAAAATACACTCAGATGAAATTCAGTCTTATCTTATTAAAGCAAAGAAATGTGTAGAAAACGTAATATTCAGTGAACATCTGGTTCTTCGTAACAATACTCACTGGGAAAATGCTGTATTTGTCAGAATCCGCATCTTTGAATGGCACAGAGTACTTTATAGATCTAGAGAAAAGAAAAACAAAAACCTAGTGAGGTTAAAAACAAGATATATAGAATTGATGTTTGTAAATGCAAATAGAGACTTTTTCTAACATGGCTGTGTTGTGTGTGTGACAAGAGGGCTAATCTAACTGCAAAATTTGGAGCCTGTCTCTGATCTCTCCATACAGCCTATTGGTTTTCTTTTTGTTAGTTAACTTGGCTTATGTGGGGAAGTGGAATAATCAGCTTGGCATTGTACAGGCCATGGGCTGTCTGCGTTGAGATCCCTGGGAAGTACAAGATCACGTTTTTGGTCCAGTGGATGAACTCCGCACTATACATTGAACTGGTGCCCTCTGAAACATTCCTTATGGAAGTCTTTCTTTGATATTTTACTTCTCAACCACTTACTCTGAGAATTGTGGATAGTTGCCATTCACTGGCAACTTGTACCTCCATTCCTGAGCTTGGGACCCAGATACACTAACCAATTCAGCTCAGGTCAAAGCTGCCAATATTTCTAGAGGGAAAACTGCCCCTGTGTCCTCACTTCTGGATTGTTACAGAATCATAAATAACTAAGGCCACTTTTCAGCTAGGAAAATCATAACGACTAGAGAATACTATGTGAACCTCTTCTGGAATCTAAACTCTAGACTTCTTATCATGTCCCTGACTGGGCTTTACTAAGTGATCTTTTGAATCAACAAAAGCAGGCCCAGGAACCACAAGGCAAATGGATGCAGTCCTGTGTGAAGGGTGAGGCAGATAAAACATGCTCATCTAAAGAGTCAGACTAAGTCCAAGGGGTCAAGGAAAACCAGGTGTGAGACTGAAGGTAAGACTTAAGGTCACTTATTTTGGAAAGGGACAACAATGAAGTCTGGCTGGTAGGGCTGTTGGCTACATGGTCCTTGGTCAGCACTAGACAGTTTTAATGATCATTATTGTTACTGAAATAATAATGAGATATTATGGAAATAATAAGGTCACTTTGAAGAATAAATGAGGCTGCATTTCAGTGTGCTTTGTAAAGTACTAAATACATTTCAATTGTGTCAATTGGGTTCAAGACACAATGAGCTTTTTTGTTTGTTTTCTTTTTGTAAAGAAAGCTATTCTGGCACAGAAATGGAGGTGGAAAGTATGAACAAATGCAAAAGTGGTACTCACTAGAAACGATGTTGAAAATGAACTATATACCTTGTGGGTGGAACAGAAGGGAAAAACTGGGAAGAACGAGGGAAGGGGTGACATTGTCCAACAAGAAAGGTACTCTTTACCTGATTTATGTAACTGTAACCACTCTGTACCTCATTTTTATAATACCAGTCAAAAAATGAAAAAGGAAAGTTACTCTATTTTTGCTTTTTCCCCACAAAAGGCTAATTTCTCTTTCAAATTGGACTAGGAAAATCTGGTCCCCCATTTGCTCTTGAACTCAAAAAAATTTGAAGGTAGTTCAGTTGAATAACTGTCTTTTCAGTGCATATCTAATACAGATAATGCAAGGGGCCTTCATCGAGTGGGAGAGGCCCAAATTTGATGGTTTTGAAGCCTCCAGACAAAATAGTAGAAGCCCAGTTAGGCAGTGGCATATCCTTTCCCCTGCATTTCCATCTTCTTTCAGGTCTGATATTCCCCTCTGCCCTCCTGACATTCCCTACCCCTATTCACAAAGGGGATGTTGGTTTTTTCCCCGGGATCAGCATATTGCATGGCTGGCTGTTGGAGCTCTTACTGGTAGATGAGCCAGGAAAACATTGTTAACTCTTGGATTCTTAACAGGCTCTGAATGTGGGTCAGAATCATAACTGCCGCCTCCTCCCCATAGATACTTTCCAGCACACTGGAGATGTTGAGTGGATTTCACGTCCATGGAACTCAAGAGATAAAAGATGGCAGAGCCCAGGATAATTTCATTAGGATGTGAATTATGTTCACCAAAGGATATATTGAAGTACTAACTCATCGTGCCTGTGATCTGACCTTTATGGGAAGCAGGGTCTTTGCAGATGCAATCAAGGGAAGAGAAGGTCATTAGGATAGGCCCTGATCCCTTCCCTCCCCCCCCACCCCACTTACAAAAAGAAAAGAGAAACACTGAGGAAAGATGGCGGCATGAAAGATGGAGGCTGACATGGGAATGATGCAGCTGCAAGCTAAGGATTAATAGCCACCATCAAGAGCTAGGAGGAGACAAGGAATAATTCTACCCAGAGAGTCTGAGAGAGCAATGGCCCTGCTGTCACCTTGATTTGTGATCTCTTTAGAACTGAGAGATCATCAATTTCTGTTGTTTCAAGTCACACAGTTTGTGGCACTGGTGTGTAGCCAGGGGAAATGAAGACGGACAGCCTCTCAGTTCAGAGGTACAGCCTGACTCCCTCCTCTGCATCCTCGGGTCTGTTTTATCCATGCCCATGAGGGCCAGGCTAGAGCACAATGGGCTAAAGCAACATTTGAGAGGGGGAAGCAAACCCAACTCTGAAATCATTGTTTCTTACACATAAAAAAAAACCCTCAAAACTAACATTGTATGGAGTTAACCTATCTAACAAATTCTGCACAAGTCCTGTTTTAAGCAAGAAACACTACTAGATTTGGGATGTTGCTTTTTAAATGCAAAAAGCTCTGAGTTTCCAGAAAACACAACCAAACAAAGATGTCACGTGCTCGGAAGAAAGAGGATACGTACAATTTAATCTTCTCACATATCTTGGTCAAAAATGGGAGTGAACAAATATCGGAAGCACCTCCGGGATATTTCTGGAAGGACAAAGGAAGAACGCTGTTTAGTTCCAGCAATGTATCTCCACAGGGAAGAACAGATCCTCCAACCTTCCTCCTAGAATCTTGTTGCTGTGCCCACATTCCATGTGCATCCATCCCACTTCCTGACCTTGGTTCATGCTGAGCATCAGTGGCGAAGGTGCCCTCACCCATCCTGTGTGTGGTCCTCATGAAGCTTTCATCAATGAAAGGAGACTAGAAGGAGACTAGAAGAAGACTAGAGGTGGAAAAGTTGGAAGCCAGCACTTATGAATTAAGGGAGAGAAACCTACATTTATCAATGAAGGGAGAGACACAGTTGATTCCCACCAGCCCCTAGGCTCTTGTGCATGGCTCTAAGTGCTGATGAGTGCTTCTACGTCTGTGCAAGGTACAGACTCATCATCCGGTAGGTGGTCTCAGTGGATGTCCCAACACCGATGGGGTGCCTACGCGGTCTGAGCAGAATTCATCTAGCAACATGCTTCGGAAATCAAGTGGGAAGGAAGAGGGGATGAAATAAGACATGGAAACCCATAGCATTGATTTAGAATGCAATCCGCAGCCTTGCTAGAGAGGCAAACTCCTCTGCCCCACATCTACCAATTTAGACCCCCTATGGTTGGCTTTCCAGGTCTTTCTGATGCCTGCTGGGCTACTGCTCTAGGTCCTAGCAGCTCACACTGTGGTCACAGACAAGGAGAACAGAGGCCACATGGGAGCTCTTAGTAATGCAGTCTGAGCTGCACCTGCTATAGGAAAACCAGCAGCGTCCTTGGAGCACAGTAATGCAGAGGTTTGATCCTAGCAGGGGAAGTCCCTGCCCTAGTGCTGGGAAGACAGGGCATCTTAGAAGATTGATATGTTTCATCCTGGCTAGAGGGTCCTGAATCACAGAGCACTGTGAACATGGAGGAGAGGAGACAACATGCCAGACCTTGTTCACATCTACATCATACCCTGAGGACAGGCAGACCCCAGTGGCACAAGGCACTCTTGAAAGGGGAGTAGCACAATGGGCAGATGATGGAGTTAAAGGGCCCATGAGAAATAAGAAACCAAGTTGTTGTTTGCCAGTCCTGGGGCTTGAACTCAGGGCCTGGGCACTGTCCCTGGGCTTCATTTGCTCAAGGTTAGTACTCTACCACTTAAGTTACAACACTACTTCTGCATTTTTCTGTTGATGTGACACTGAAGAATTGAACCCAGGGCCTCATGCATGCTAGGCAAGCACTCTACCACTGAACCACATTCCCAGAGCTTCATGCATGCTAGGCAAGCACTTTACCACTAAGTCACCTTCCCAGGGCCTCATGCATGCTAGGCAAGCACTCTACCACTGAGCCACATCCCCAGCCTAAGAAGCCAAGTTTTTGAGCCAGGCTCAGAAAGACAAACCACACATGTTTTCTCTCGTATGTGGAAATACAGCTATGCATGATAACTTATGGCTCAGTGCATTCACACAAAACTGACTAACAAGGGGTTTACTTAGGGGAGGAGTCCAAAGGTGCTATTCCTCTGAACAACTAATGTATCGTTTATCAAAACAGACACCAGGAAAGTAGATACAAGTTTGGGGGAATGGGCAAAGATGGGGGCATAAGAATGGAGGGAGGGGAGCTGGGAAGGTGGCTCAGTGGTAGAGTGCTTGCCTTGCATGCCTGAGGCCCGGGGTTCGATTCCTCAGCACCACATAAGCAAAAAGAAAAGCTGGGGACTGGGAAGGTGGCTCAGTGGTAGAGCACTTGCCTTGCATGCCTGAGGCCCTGGGTTCGATTCCTCAGTACCACATAAGCAAAAAGAAAAA